TGGCCTACTCAGCCCCGTTTCTGGAGCCTGACAGATATTTTCTGTTCATCTTACATACCAAAAATAGATGAAAACTTTGTGCTATTGTGAAGAGAAAAAACAAGTACAAACACTGACTAGCAACTCCAGAATAAGTCAAGGTGCACAAAAGTGATGGAAAATAAATTACATGTTTATGCTGTCAGACTGAGTAGCTTCAAAGGCTCTGAGAGCACACAAACAAGACCTCGGCTGTGGGGAGAGAGCACTAACACAGCCCCTCGTTTGACAGTTTTCTCACTAGTCAGGTAACAAGAACATGGAAGTGGGTCACACATGCCACTAACTCAGCTCTTCAGAGGAGACTTCAGCAACAAACCACTTTCCTGTGAATTTCTAACTGTGACTCCAACCCTAGGCAGATCCTAAACCTATAGTACAGTCAGGAGCTAATGTGATTATCTGTCACCTTCAAAACACAAACTGGGCTCCTGCTGTAACTCAGTTCTGTTTCTGACTGTCCCTTACCTACAGACTTGTCTGCCATCCCGACATCCCGGGAAGTCCAGCGGCAGAACCCACAGGCCAGGTAATAGGCTTTCTTCATGGTGGTCTTGGCCGGGTCGTCGGGGAGCGGGGCGGGGATGCTCGTGGCACGGGTGGAGAGGGTGTGCATGCAGCAGGGGCAGTCAAAGCAGTTGGCACACCTGCAGACAACCACACAGTGCTCTGAGAAGGCTCCCAGGCTGAGGGAAAAGCTCTCAACAACCAGATCAACATTAAACCAACCGACCTTTTCCTCAAGGGAAAAAGGTCACCAGAGCCATCGGGGGAACAGGAGGGGTTCAGAGTCAACTTCAGAATGGCAACAGTGAGAAACACCGAGGGATAATAAAAACCTCTTTGTATTATGAAACAAGTCATCACAAAAAAAATGAAAAAAATCCATGAACAGCACCTGATAGATCATGGCAATGATTTATTCCCCAAAACAGACTCAATGGTAAAAAGCACCGATGTAATTTTTGAAGAGTTTCAGACAGACACGTCAGGTGCTAAGGAAGGAGCTGTTTAAAATATAGGGAGCCTTGATGAAAATATAAGCAAAAGCAACCTTACCTATTCTTTTTCAGCTTGGCTTCAGCTGAAGGCATGTTTTCCAGGCAGCTGGGGCAATAGTGGGAGTCCACCTGAAGGAGAAGGCAGTCACATCACAAGTGTTACCTGGCACACCAGACAGCACATGGCACCTGCCACATGATTCAACAGGGATTCGTGTCTGGCAATCCCTGGTGCAGCCAGGGAAGGCTTGAGGCATTTTATGGTATTCAAAATCTTAGCCTGTTTCAGCCTGATTTTGTTCTTTAATAACATGAATCAGAAGGCTTCTTAAATCAGAATGGATTAAATTACTCCACCTTGTAAGTGAGCAAAATTCAGCCTTTAGCAGCTACCAGAATTTCATTCTGCAGCTTGAACCACAGGTTTTAACGTGTTATTTTCTACTTACACCTACATTTATTCTGTCCTTGCCGTTGCACTGCTCAGATTTATGTACAATTCAGAACACTTTTTATCTGTCTGCTGTCACATCGAATTTTGTCAATTAAAACAACACCAGCAAGACTGGGGGCCCCTTCTTGAAGAGGAATTCAAACTGATTATTAAACATGGACATGCACAATGACTACACTCCTCACACCACAGTAAATCCATCATGGATGCAGCCTGGTGACAAATCTGCTGTTCAGAGGCCTCAACCTTTCCTTAAAGACTCCTCTTCTGAGATCAGGGCTGCACAGTCATTCTTTCAAGGCTTTCCAAATCTATCACAGTTTCTTAGTTCAACCAGGCTTCCACAAAATCAATTCTACCGGTTTGACTATGACAGTTTGTGAAGCCACAAAGCCTCCACAGCAGAAATCACACTGTAAAATAATGTGGAGTGGTGTGCGTGGGGGGGTCCCTGCCTCTCCCTGGCCGGGCCCGACGGGGATGTGTGTGGGAGGGGGGGTCTTGACCCTCCCGGTGGGGCCCCGCAGAGGGGTAGGGAGGCCCTGGTGCCCCAGACCAGTCCCACAAAGGTTTTGGGGGGCCCTCGTTGCCTCAGACTGGTCTCACAGTGGTTTTGGGGGGTCCCCGCTCCCCTCGACCAAGGCTTAGGGAGGGGCACCTCCCTCACGAGGGGGAGCTGCCCCTGTGCGCTGGCCTCGGCCAATCACAGCCCGAGCTCCGCCGACGGACAGGCGGCACAGCCAAACCAAAGTGAAGCACCGCCCCACCCATCACCCACGGCCAATCGTCGCACCCCAGGCAGCGTTGCGCCCACCCCCTAGAAGCGCCACCGACCAATAGGAAGGCAGAAAGCGAGTGAGCGGCGGGAGAGCCACCCAATCGGTACCACGTTCTGCGCGCATCGTCCCGCCCGGTCCCGCCCGGTCCCGCCCGGTCCCGCCCGGTGCGCGGCGCGGCGCTGCGGGGGACGCCGTTTACCTCCATGCGAGGGACGCACTCGAGCGAGGCGGGCTCGCTGCCAGTTAGCGCAAGACAGCTTGCGGCAGCGGTGCCCGCAGGCTCCTTCTCGCCGCGCACCAGGTACACACCGCTCCGACTGCAGCAGCGACGCCATCTTGAGAGCGGGCGGGCTCCGCCGCGCCGCCGCCGCCTGACGTTAGCGCGCCTGAGAATGACGTCAGCGCGCCGCCCTGGCCACGTGCCCGGCCGGGCGGGGCGTCCCGGGGGGACCCCGGTGCAGGGACATCCTGGGGATCCGGGGCCTCCAAACCCGGCAGGAACAGAGGTGGGGCAGCCACAGCTCCTCCAGGCAACCTGTGCCAGCCCCCCGCCACCCTCATAGCCAAGAATTCCTTCTCAATATTCCATCTAATCCTACCCTCTGACAGTGGGAAGCCGTTCACCCTTTTCTCGTCCCTCCATCCCTTGTCCAAAGTCCCTCTCCAGCTCTCTTGGGGCCCCTTTAGGCACTGGAAGGGGCTCTAAGGTCTTTCCAGAGCCTTCTGTTCTCCAACTGAACACCCCCAGCTCTCCCAGCCTGTCTCCAGGGCAGAGGGGCTCCAGCCCGTGGAGCATCTTTGCGGCTGCCTCTGAACTCACTCCAGCAGCTCCACATCCTTCCTATGCTGGGGCCCCCAGAGCTGGATGCAGTGCTAAATATTCCACACCCCAAAGGTGGTTTCTCTTCAGTCTCATGGCCGCTAAGACGGGGTCCTGACAAGAACAAACATTCCCATGTCGTGGGATCAGCAGGAAAGTGTGAAGTCTGTGGATGCTGTGCTGTGTGGGCAGATCTTCCATCAGCAAACCACCCCCAGTTTGCTCTTGGATACCCCGACCAAGCACCAGTCACAGCCTGGACTGTGGCATGGATCCCTCATTCCCACCCCTGTGTTCATCCCTGCACAGCACCTGGAGTCAGTCCCTGCCCTCTGCCCACCACTGGCAGCTCCGGAGGAAACCCCTGTCCATGAGGATCTGCCACAGCTCGAGATAAAACCCCCACGTGCTCTTTATCCAACAGCAGCAGCTGGGAAGGCAGGGAGGAGGCTCTCTGCCTGTGCTGTGGGCCCAGGAAGGTGCCTGAAGGCCAGGGGGGTCTGAGAGCATGTGGGTAGGGGGTTTCCACCACTGGGAATCCAGCAGGTTTCCCTGGGAAGAAGCAGGAGTGAAGGATGCAGTGCGTAGGTCCCACTGTGTGTGACACTGAGCTGGTGTCCCAGCAGGAAAATCAGAGCATCCCACCTCTGCTTTCGCCATTCGGCATCACGGACGGAGCAGAATGTTCCAGTGGGCAGTGGAAACGCTGTTCCCTGTCTCTGTAAATCACCCTGCCCGGATCCCTGGGGAGCGCCTCCCCCGGGCCTCGGGGGCAGGTGAGACCTGTGAGCCCTGCTGTGGCAGGAGCAGGACGGGGCAGGGGAGAACCCTTTGTTAAGGGCTAAGAAGTTAAATGTTCCCACGGTGCCGACCTGACACCTTCGGGTTCGGCTCCAGATGGTCTCCCCCGGTGGGACCCCGTCCTGGCTGGGATGAGGTGGAATGTGACCTTGCTTTAGCCTGGTGAGAAAAAATGTCCTG